ACTCTATTATAAGAATATGCCACAACCTTGTTGGAGTAGCATCAACAATATTACGGTACAATTTTGAGGTACTTGTACTTTACTTGAGTATTACCATGTGTTGCTTTTGTACTTCTTCCTGATAAGAATTCAGAGGTTAATGGTGTACTTTTCCTCCACTACGTGTATTGAATACTTTTAGTTACTTTACAGATGTGGATGAATTATGTGAAATCTAATCAAGTGTTAAATCACATTAGTTCCACCTGGAGTAAATTCACTACTACCCTGCAGTATACAAAGTCATTCAAACTAGCTGCACCTTTACCAGCTTTGAGAACACTTTCATGATCAATCATTATAAAACATAGGTAACACTTTATTTTGATAGTCCATATTTAACACTCTATAAGTCATCAGTTGACATTTAGTAGCATGTCAACAGCAATTAACCAATATTCAACCTTACTATCTGTATATTGTGTCAACATCTTCAAAATTGACAAACTACTCAAAATCAATCTGTCAGTTGAAAGTCAACAGGGTCATGTCGACTATCTGTTGATAATCTGTTGAGAGTCAAGATGTCAACTAAAGATTACATTAAGCATTAGTTGATGATCAACAGATAAGCAACTTTAGAGTTTAGTTGACTATCTGTTGATCGTCAACTCATCTAGAGTTGACTATTAGTATACTTTTAGTAGGCATTCTCCACTAAGCGTTTGTAGGCATGTGTTAGGACTATCCAATTAAAGTGAAACACAGTTGAGAACAGTAGAAAGTCTATAACCTATCAACAGAACACATACATTCATCCACTAATTATATGCAACAGACATGGGAATAAAGCGAAATGTTTTGCACAACTGATCACAAACTTTATTTATTCATTATGTATGTAATGTTTGAGTTAGAAACACCTGTTCCTGTTTTATTTGACTAATATATAAGATAAATACAGAAGCCTAATGCATTCACTTGAGAAGGTTTTTCACAAGAACTCACAATCTACAGATAGTAAGGTTGAATATCGGTTAATAACCTGTTGCAAAAAACATGTTGACAGTCAACAGACAGTTGTTGTAAAATCTATAGATCAACACTTGAGATGTACCTTATATTCTACTGGCAGTTAGTTGCATGTTACTTGTCTGTTGAAACAGTGTTGTTGAATGTCAACTGATGACTTGTAGAGTGTTAACTATGGACTCTCAAAATAAAGTGTTACCAAAATATATCATATATTATTCTGAAATGGACCAATCTGCACAATGACTACTTTTATCTGAAACAGGTTTATTACCAGGTACACGTACGAGGAATTTGACTTGGTGTCGTTGTGCAAACATACAAGTAATACAAAACAAACAGATAGCGATCTAGAACACTGTAATATAAAATATAGCAATACAATAAAGCAGTAATTCACATTGAAACAGAATGCAATAAATTATAGAATATAAAATATGTGCAGTAAGCAATATTGTCAACATTGTGTGCATTCATGTAATGCATGGAGTCAACTTTTTACTGTTGGTACTTTGAGTATATTTGGATGCTGATGATTTGGAAAGTAAGTCCAAAATATGTTAAATGTGTATCATGAATTGCTCCTTGTTGCAACCAACCCTGAAAATAGTCACAATGTGCCTCTTTAAGACAGCTACCCTACTTTTCAGGCTAATTTAAGCTCGCCCCCACCCCTCCTGTTTGTTAAAAATAGTTCCGTCCATCACTCAGGTGCAGAAGCAGCCTGTGCATGAGAGAGATCCTGCAGGAAGCAGCGGAACACCTGAAGCTGGAGCACCGGAACCCGAACTCCCTCCGCTGGACTGGCCCGGAGCAGCAGCCCGGCCTCTGGACCGATGTCCTGGCAGAAATGTCTCGACACGTCTACATACGGAACAAAATTGGAGAGGGCATCCAAGCGCCCATCTTTCAGGTTGGTTCTTAATTAACTATCTAAATGGATGATTACTTCGCGACAGTTACTTTACGGCAAATAATAACGAATAAGAACTCTGTCAACGCTGAATACCGAATGAGTCTCAGGCAATAAGTTGTACCTTTTTTACATTTGAACACCTTTCTACTAAAAGTTGCAAGCTGGGGAATACTCCATGACTCCCTGTGACCAAAATGCCCTGATTTAACTTGGGTTTGAGACATTTAAGAAACAAAACCACTTGTGTTGATTATGCATTTTAGACCAGGTGTACGTTTACTTAGGCCTACTTGAGAAATATATCGTTTTTCTATTTTTGCTAGACTTTTAATAAACCATATGTTCTTTCAGAGCAACAAAAAGTTAATTTCAGTGGGACTAACATTAATGTTTTTGACCTGAGTCTCTTGACATTTGTTGCATCATGTTAATGTTATTATTTGTGGGAAGATAGGGATTAATATGGGGAACATTTGAAGTTATATCTTGTTATTGATTGAATAAATGCTATTGCTTGTCAACTCCCAAACCATGCAGCATTTCATTTTATGGTGTTAAATCTAGTTGTTCATTCAAAGCCATTGCATTGAAATTAAATGCTGCTAGGTGGACCACAGCTTATCAAATATACAAGAATAAATTCACGTTTTCTACAAGATTCAAAATGTATTTTCAGAGGTATGTGTTCACCTGTAATTAGAGGACTGTATCTTGCTCTGTTAGATAACTATTCTTTTCTTTTGACTTGATTGATCGTTAGAGGTGACCGGCGGATTATTATAGAACATTATTCAGATTTAGCCAACTTTATTTTTCACATCTCTTCTTGGTTTTGGTTTGAATTGAGACAGAGGCGAGATGCTGGCCCAGATTAGTGGCCCTGTTTTATAAATTCAGGGAAGTAGGTTCTGTCTTTTTTACACTGACATTGTCATTAACTCTGGAGACTTGAACAGAAATGGGGCAAATCACTGGCAGATAATTAATTTAGCTCCCTGGAGATTAACTCTGCTGGTTATATTTGGACTTTTTGGACGAGAAACGGAACAAAATGGAGAAAGTCAGGCGGTACGGAGGAAAGTAGTGTGCAGGAGAACATAAGTTAGTGAAAAGACATCCATAAGTCTGATTTTGTGGTGTTAGATGATGTGTCTTCTGCGTTATGGGTATCGTACCTGCAAGTGTGTTTGTAGGGCTGATGTTATTGTACTGTACTTTAAAAAAACATGTATTGAATATGTGAAAAAGCCAGTGGATCGTGTATTAGCTGCATAAGGCTTCATTTAATGCAATCATACAGATGTAACGGATTCTCACAAAGAGAAATTCCGAGACTCTTGAACATGGAAAGTGTTTCTGCAGGATGAAATCTTGTTATATTTTCCCACTCAGGTGAATCGAGGGACTTATTCCAGGAGGAGCCGCCTGAAGAGATCTGATGGCAGCACCACCTCCACCAGCTTCATCCTCAGACAGGTACTGACACACAAGCCTGGGATTTAAAGTAGAATACTGTCACTGGTTGGGAAATGATTACTTTTTCATTAAAAATGTCCTAATTGCAGTTAAGGAAAGACAGATTTCGATATATCCATAACTTCAATTTCAAGTAAAGTACATTACACAAGCTTTATTAAGAGAGATGGTTTGTTTTAACTTGAAATAATACAATAAAAAAAATACAAGAAACTGGCCATTTGAGATATATATATCATTTTTAAAGTTATGATGAGACTTAAACCTTAGAGATATAAGAAGTTTAAATAGGAAATACATTTAGTAAATGTTTAATTAAAAAAGAAATACATAAAGACCTGGGGCTGGATATCGATACTGATGCCTACAGTATCCTATTGTTAAAAAATACAAACATTTTAATATAATAACAAATAGTTGGTGTTGCATACATTTAAAATAATTGCCTCCCAGAATTCTGGACTAAAGTTAGATATCTTTTGTGATACAGATCATTAAATATATGATCAAGAAGAAGTAAAGCATTCATAGTCTATAGAGCAGGGCGGTCAAACTCAAATACACAGTGGGCCACAATATAAAAATGGGTACTAGTCGAGGGCCGGACTGGTTAAATGTTTATTGCAAAACTTATTGAAATGAACTTATTGCACATATTAAACCTGGAACTAACAAAGCTTAAATAATTGCCTATAAAAACAACATTAAATAATCAGTTGCATTAATTTCTTATGGCTCTATCTGCAGCTTTTCCCCGAGTCATTTCTTATGATTACATTTTCCCACAGGCCAACAACAGCTTCAACAAAACTATTTCCCTCAAAGAGAAAACCAAACATGCCCTGTTGTCGTGAGAGAGAAAGTGCAGAAGGAAACATCCATTAAACTCAGTGTGCTGCTGTGATGCTAGTCCAGATACTTGGCATCTCATCTTAGGTTCATTAATCAAGTTCATTAATGTTTGGGCTCAGGCTCTGAGCTGAGGTTTGAGTGAAGGTGTGCGTGCAATATACCGGCGGGCCAGATCTAATAGGAATTAAAAATGATCCTGTGGGCCGAAATTAAATTCACCACGGGCCTGATTTGGCCCCCGGGCCATGAGTTGGACACATGTGCTCTAGAGGTTTGTAACCATGATTACATTTTCTTTACCACAATAAAAATATCCAGCAATATATAACATTAAGTCATTGTCTCAGTATTTCTAAAATCCTTGTTGTCCAATACACTAAATCTCCCTAAAAACGAAATACATGTGTCCACCTATTGAGACCATGTGACTTTATAGAAATGTCACTCTGGATTTGCTTCACATGTGGAAATAAATGCCATTTTTCAAACACATGGATCCAGTGTATGAAGGAATGAACCCTCTGCGTGTAATCACAATGGGATTGAAGGTATTTATCTGCTCTCTCTGGAGGATCAATAGGCGAGTGAGGATGAGCGCTTACAGGGAAATGGAGGATGCTGCTCCCCTCTTTTTCCTCCTCCATCCCCCTCCCCCGATCCTTGCTACCTCCCCGCACACAAAAAAAAAAAAATCAAGGAAAGCGCTCATCCAAGCTGAGTGGACAGCCAGCCAGCCAATCAGCTGCCTGCACATTGGCTCTGTCATCAGGCTTGGATATTGAGGAAGGATCCACTGCTGCTGCTGCTGCTGCTGCTGCTGCTACTGCTGCTCGTTGTGTATATGTATGTGTGTGTGTGTGTGTGTGTGTGATGAAATGAAATGCCAGGATTGGGCTACCTCCAGGGAGAGCCTCTCCATCCTATAATGTGAAGCCAGCCAGCAGCGCCGTGAGATCAGGGAGAAGCTGCATCCATCAACGGGCCTCCGGAGGACCAGGCGTGATCCAACGGGAGGGGAGATCTTTTTTTAAATTATTCTTCTCTGCTGTGAGAGAAGGGATTGTCGTCATTCCCCCCATCCATCCTTTTTTGTTTCCTCCTCTGAGGTGCCCCCTCCTTCCTGCTTCGCCTCCACTCTCATTTTCCCCCCTCATTCTTCGAGAGGCGCTCGTTGGAATATCAAACCTCCATGTATGACAATTTGTACCTGCATGGATTTGAAGACTCGGAGGCGGTGAGTGTTCGGATGTGTGTGTGAATCTGCTGTGGGTTTATTGATGAAAGAACTGCACTCTCACACACACAGGAGGCCTTTGATGGGTACAGCGTAGCGTGATCGTGGGCTATGCTTCACTGGAAGGGGGTTGGGTGGGTGTGTGTGTGTGTGTGTGTGTGTGGAGGGGGGGTGCACATTAGGCAGATGGCTTCTGACGTGTGACATTCACACAGCAATTTATACATTTCTGTACCTCTGTATGTGCGTGTGATGTGTGTTTCTTTATGTGATGTCTACGTGATTTAAGTATGAACGAGACATTTAGTCTTCATCACACTCTCAGAGATGGACCAAAGATGGAAAGATGTTAATCACACCTTTCTCCCCTAAGGCCCATAACATGGTCACATCCAGGTGATCAATGTTTCAGCATTTATCACTTTAAGAAAAATGCAGCCGGGTATTTTTGATGTGACCCTGTGTCTGCGTTATGTATAGGCTCTGCCGAGGAGAAACATGCATCGTGATGTCATTAAGTGGATTCTGATGCTGATGAGTCACATGCTGAAGCTACTCCATTGGATAATAGCTCGGATGCTACAGTGCTACCTTAACGCTTCCACACAGATGCATGAGATGATGTTCACAGGCACTTGCTAGTGTTGGATTGAAGGATTTCTAAAAAAAAATATGGAGGCTAAATGGTCTTGAGGACAAATACAATGACGATTGTATTGTAGGGGGATTGGAGTCAACTTTTCAGGCTTGCCAGAATCCGGAATCTATTGTATATTAAATGATATCTGTTACGCTAAAAGTAATAGTCAAGGTGTTACATTTTCATATATTTTTGAAGGACCTGCGATAGATGGAAGTTACAAAAAGGACTGGTCTCATTGGAAGAAGCAAAGGCCAAGATGTCCTTATTTGTAGTCAGTTGTAATGTATGGGTTTAATCACCAGTCCCACTATTCAACTTATTTTACCATTATACCCTCCCTGCAAACTCTAAATTCCCTGTTTCTTATCCAAGCTTTTTTGGTTGAATGCATCTCATGCTTAGATAACCCTCAGGACATCACTGTGACATCATTAGAGGTTATTGTCCTCGCTTTAAAAAGCCAAAGAGGACATAATAAAACCATTTTCAGAGCCTCTACTACTTATCATGATGTGTAAAATCTGTGAAATGCCCCTTTTTTAATACGTTACTTTTACCATACTTGACTATTTCCCTATTGGAGCAATGAATCAGAGTTGTTTAGAAATCGTACAAAGACCCACTAAGCTTGATATTTCCTTTTGGGTTCCTCAAACATAGCACTTTGTGATTTGATGCACACGATGAAGACGAGCTGATGTCAGACCTTGCTGTTGCTGCTAGCTTGTAAAAAGCGAAAAGTGCTTAGCTGGGATGACCAGCCTGATTGATCTTCTGGAGACTAATGGTCTTCCTTAATTGAATCTTCATTAGTGGCTGATTGTTTAGATTAACACGGCAGAAGAAAGCACTTGGTCCAGACATGTCCCAGCAACAACAACAAAAAGGAACCGTTGCATTACTGGAATTCTCCGTGTGTGGCGGGATCAAATACTGCAAGTCTAGCATGTCTCAAAGCACTTAAGTGAAATAAAAAAAAACCTTACGGAGTGCAGGAAAAAGGACAGCAAGGAAACAAAGAGGAATCTGATCGAAAGAAAAAAATACTGTATTTCATATCCACTCTTACCTCCACTCGTGTGTCAAAATGGTGCAGGATTAACGCAGAGATATGGACTAAAATGACTTGATTAAAATGATCAGTTATTTTAAAGTGTTTGCCCTTTTTTAAAGTTGCATCAAATCAACTAAAGTTTCCTGTTATTTGCTGTTCTTATTTTGTTTTAAAAACCTCTCCAAGTGTCTTGGTTCATGCAGAAGAAGCCAATTACTTTTGGTGATTAATCTTAATGCTAATGAGTCATAGTATTTTCCAAATGACTCAATGTGTCATCAAGCTGAAATGACAAAGGACACATTTGAAACTAATGTAAGGATGGAGAAATTCTTGATGCAGCAGAGTTAGGAATCCACATTTCTGGCATCTAAATCTATACGTTCTGTGGTATTTAGTAAATCATTCCAGGACACATATTAGCCGATCTATACGGATAAAAGCCTGGGAATAAAAGGGTCAATTGTAAACGCATATCTCCTCTATATATATATATATATATATATTCATTTATTTACTCATATTTACAGTATCTTTGCATCTTAGAATCCTGCAAACAAATTCATTTGTCCTTTTGTAATGAAGAGGAATCTAAAACTCATACATTAAAATCTACCAACAAAGTCAGGTTGTGAGATTAAACGTACTGATACATTTCCTACATATTTAGCTTGTATCTCATCTTTCAATTTTTTATCATTTATATTATCATTTATCTTCAGTTTTCACTTGCAATGCATATTTGTTCCTCTCCTGGGGTTCCATAAAACCGTGACTAACCCGGACATTGATGTTTCCACACGCTTCAGCCTCTGTGATTATGTACGAGTTAATGTGTGGAAATGTGCACGAGGCGTAGATATGCTGCACTGTGTGTCAGTGTCATGACTGTTGGAACGATAACATCAGGCAAGTGAAAGTAAAATGAAACTTCCTGGTCCAAAAGATGCATAATCTGCTCCGCCTTTTTTAGGGAGTCGTAATCAAAGTCGTCACTTTCCAGAATTGTGTCTTAAGTGTGATTTATTTATTTATTTATTTGTTTGGCAGTGTGTGTGTAGTCATACAAACTGCTGACGTTACGGGAAAGAAAATTCCACTTTGTTTGATGCTCCTGGCATCTATTTCACCTGTATTGCATTCACAGTGCCAAGAGGCTGGACTTGGCCATGCAAGTTGATGTGAACCCAAAAAGACAGTCTTCGGTCCCATGAAGAAGCTTTTCCTTAAGTGGATCTGGTGTTGCTTTGCAGCTGTACAGTATCTCTTGGATGGAGCTACAGTACTTTTGTCTTTTAAGCCATTTCGTCCACTTTTTCTCTCCTTGATGTTGGAGAAATGCCTCAATGAATCAACCCTCTTAGGAGTGCTACTGTTTGAAAGCCTTGCCTTGATCTCACATTTACAATACTGTGGCATTTCCTGTTACTTTCAATGTAGCTTTTGCCCTCTGTATTCACTGGAAAGTGGTAAAAATATTACCACAATATCGCCTGACGTGACTATTTTACAATAAGTGCCTTAACACTTGATTCTGGTCTCTGAAACATTGGGAAAACACACTTTGATGGTCCCAATATCACCCTAAATAATCAGGTCTATCGTTAGTAGTAGGCATCTAAAACACACCCAGTTCTGCCAAGAAATGGATTTAAAAAAATGCTTCAAATAAAATAAAAATGACCCCATGATATCAGATTGTAAGATAATGCATTAATCTCATCATTTTGACAATTGATATAATAATTTAACCTAGTTTCTCATAGTTTTGACTTTCAATGCATTGTTTTTGTTGTTGTTGCTGCTCTAACAACGTGGGTTTGCAAGGTTCAAGGCTTTTGTGTTGTGTTTGCAGGGCTCAGCTGATTCATACACTAGCAGACCATCAGACTCAGATGTCTCTCTGGAGGAGGAGCGCGAGGTGCCGGCTCCGGTCCAGAGCCAGAGCCCCAGCCAGAGCCAAGGACCGGGACAGAGCCCGCAGGAGAAGGAGCAGCAGGCCACCGTCCAGCTGGAGAGAGCCAAGGTGCTCCACGACACATTAATCTGCGGCTACGTTTAAATTCACAGTCTAGAAAGGCTAATGAGAAAGCTGGAGCTAATGGCTGTGTCAAAAGCCTACTTTATTGTCAATCTTTCAGTTTGTGTGTACAGACGGAGAGATCGAAATACCGTTTCCCACAATCCCGAATACAAAAACATGTATACAGTTGTGGTCAAAAGCTTACATACACTTGTAAAGAACACGTATTTCAAGACAGTCTTGACTTTTCAATAACTTCTACAACTCTTATTTTTCTGTGATAGAGTTATTGGAGCACATTCTACTTTGTCACAAAACAAAAATCATGAAGTTTGGTTCTTTTGTATGTATATTTTTGACCCAGCAGATTTGATCACATTTTCAGAAGACCCATTATAAATTCATAAAAGAACCAATCTTCAGGATTTTTGTTTTGTGTGCTCCAATCACTCTATCACAGGAAAATAAGAGTTGTAGAAATTATAAAAGCACAACAATCAATAATATATAAAAAATAACAGTCACTTCAATATCTTTGGGAAATGTACATTAGTGTGAAATCATCCCTGCTCACTTTGTAGAGGAATATATAGTGATGTTATTGGCTAAATGTCCGTCCTGCAGACTAAACCTGTGGCGTTCGCTGTGAGGACGAACGTCAGCTACTGTGGCGCTCTGGATGAGGATGTTCCAGTGCCGGCCACCGCCATCTCCTTCGACGCCAAGGACTTCCTCCACATAAAAGAGGTGCTTTTTACACATGACACCTGCTGAGATAATTGTCTGCATTTTTACGTCTACTATGGATCCCAGTTTCTCAAATCCTCTCAACATGTGATGTGAAACCCAGTGAACGGCACATGTTAAAGACTTAAAATAGCGGTTTCCTTAATGATTAAACAATTATCAAGATATTTGTCTGTATTTTTTTGCCTACCATCGATCCCAGTTTCTCAATTTCTCTCAATGTGGATTTCTCAAACAAATCTATGAAATTCTTCTGACCTGAGCTCCTCCAACAAAGCAACATGTATAATAAAATACACAAATAAAGAAATAGTGCAAGAAGTCTATATACATGTAGAACAGAATATGAAATTAAATAATGTACATTAAGACAAAATTAAATACGGTATATTGCAGTGATAACTATTTATAGAAATACGTAGATTATGTGATCGTTGTTTAATACATCTGTAAAACATGAGGTTACTCTTTTAATTAAACTATTCACATTGCACTGTAACTTTTATTTATGTCTTATTTTGCTTTTTAATGCTCTTAATGTCTTTCATTTTTGTAAAGCACTTTGAATTGCTTTGTGTTGAAAGGTGCTATATAAATAAACTTGCCTTTTAAAGATTTCCCTTGTTGTGTTGTGCTGTGCAGAAGTTCAACAACGACTGGTGGATCGGGCGGTTAGTGAAGGAGGGCTGTGAGATCGGCTTCATCCCCAGCCCTCTGAAGCTCGAGAACATCCGGCTGCAGCAGGAGCAGAAGAGAGGACGAGTCCAAGGGTAAGTCGCAGAAAGCCACACTTCAATCTCACTGTGACTAAGCCTTACGTGGTCACATGACATATAACGTTGACACAAAATGAGTAAGAGCGGTTATTTCTGCATTTTTCTTCTGTTACCCAGGTCTGCTTATGACCATTTACTCTATCACTTGCCTGTAACAGTTTTAATAGCTGTAATTAGCCTCTTAGTTTCAGTGTGTAATGTGTCTTGAAGGTGCTGTCCTCTAGAGTTTGTACATTAACTCTCAGGCACTTCCTCAAGCCTGGGGTGTTGAGTTTAATACTAATCTCACCAGACTGGAGGGCTTCAGAGCTTCACTTACTAGCATGGCTTTTTGTCCCAAAGCTTTACAGTAAACCCCGTCAACTAGGGATATTATGAGCAACTGAAAAACAGCAGACCTACATAAAGCACGCTGCCTTTCAGAGATGTTGGGAAGTCTAAGAAGCACCATATATTTAATCCTGCAGTATAAAATAAGCGTTAAATAATATTTGTGTCCGTTGTTTTGCACATTTCCTCTGCAGTAAGTTAAATCCCATTTTTCCACATTAATACCATGGTCTTTCTTTATCCCCTCTTGTCTTTTCCAGTAAGTCTGGAGGGAACTCTTCTTCCAGTGTAGAGGATGAGGTTTCTGCCTCTATCCGGCCCCTCATATCCTCGGCAGGTGAGGACTTCGGTCAGGGGGAGAGGGCTGTTAGTAGCCAGCTTAGAGCCCACTTCCTGGACAACGTAGAGCAAATAAGACTCTAAACCCTTCCCCATTCTCTGCGTAGAGCATAAGTTTTTGGTACACTTTCCCATGATCCTCCTCTTCCTCCAGTTGAGGACTGCAGGCGTTCTGAGACCCAACGACAAGACTATGAACCCCCCCTGAACTGCACTCATGTGTGAATATGACTTTAGGACTAATAGGAATGCTGTGTTTTTTGTTTATCATATCGGATATCATTGCTAGGTTTCATTTTCAAAGATTTTTTTCTGATGTGACGCATGTTTTTCTGAGATATTGTGGCGGCGCCTCCTCTGGCAGCAGATACTGACGACTGTCTTCTCTCCCCTCCTACAGGAAAGCAGAAACAGAAAGTGGTAAGTTGGTGACGGTAAAAAAACACTCATTCATCATCTTCTAAATTCGTGTTTTGACACCATCATGAAATGACGGGAGCCGGCAGCACAGGAAGTTACAACCCCATATCATGTCCCATAATACAGCGCCAAGTCATCATCTCTGTGATCACAAAGTACTCTCGTGCCAAGTGTAGAAGTGCTGCTTCCTCTCCTCATGACACTTTGGATAACATTTTGGGGAAAGAAGAAGATATTTCACAATTAGTGTTAAAAATGTATCATATTGGATGCTGTTGTTGGAGATTTTTAGCCAAAGTTAAAACGCTAAAAACGCAACATCTTTCAAAAAACAGCGTCTGAGGGCTTCTTAACATTTAACAAACTATGAATGTGTCATACCTACTTAACGGGAAGAAACTCAGCTATCAGACAATATTAACCATTTTTCGCTAAACGAAACACAAGGGTAATAACAAAGGCTCTGAATTAGCCCTGAGCGAAAAAATGCTAACGCACTTAGCACATAACTCACTGTAAAATACCCTTATTACTTATCGGATCTACACAAACAAGATATCGGTTAGCAAGCTGAGATTCCACAGATTCCAGAAATATAAGTATCATCACTGAGATCACTTTGAAATGATTACTGATAATCCATCATTCCATTTTTATGTCCATAACGGAGTTTTCATATATAGCTGCTAGTAGCTAGTAACCAGAGTGTATGACAGCTTCCGGTTTTGGGCATTCTGGCTACGCATCACTCATTCACCAATGGGTAATGTTTAGATGGATTTTAGGAACTTCCCCTCGATTCCATTGGCTCTAACGGTTAAAAAGATATGTCAATCATCAAAATCAAAAGACGCGGGCCAGAGATATGGAAAATGCACCCAAATGACCCCAGAAGTGGGTTTTTTGTGCAAAATCTCTCTAAAAAGGTCAAATGTCACTTGTTTTGCATCAATCTTGATATAGTGTACTTATTATATGTTATAGTTTGGATTCCTAAAGCTTTTAGTCTACTATCCCATCATTCAAGGGTGGTTTTCACTATAAGTAATGTTTTATTTTTGGACGGACACTATAATTTACATTTTTTTTACTATGTTCAATCTGAATTTACTTTAAAATAAAAAAAATCTATATTAACTCTGACTTTTCTACATCAAACTCACAGGTTTATCATTACTTTGAGAAAAAAGATTATTAATTTACCCCTTTTAGAAGTGAAGTTATAGTCATTTGTTCTGGGAATGTCAGTTTCGAGCCTGAGGCCTGAAAAACAGGCTCGGGCTTAACTGGTTAAAAAAAAAAATAGATAACTTGATTTTAAGAATATGACAGTTTCCAGTGAATTCATATCCATATTTACTGCAGTATATTGCCAAATAAAATGTAATCTCAAGACAAAAATAAATCAAGTAGCCTCAATTGGTCTGGTAAAATTCCCTAAAAGTCTGGTATAGCGTTAATTGGTCGGTAAAAAATGTACAAGTCAAACATGTTCCTTTAAATGTGTCTTTAACATCAAGTCACTTAACTAAATATAATATAATTATTGGCTGTATTATCAATAATCGTGTCACAGTGTCATCAACATGTATGTTTGACAAAGTGCGTTATCATTTGCCTCAGAGTGGCAGAACACATGTCACTGTAATAGGTCAGCTGACTCCTTTACACTTCTCTGCTGTGCATATCTTTCATGTCAAAACTAATGTTCATATTTATTTTGCTGCCGATTAAAATGTGTTTGTGCTGACAGACGGAACACGTCCCCCCGTACGACGTGGTTCCCTCCATGAGGCCTGTGGTGCTGGTGGGACCCTCGCTCAAAGGTTATGAGGTGAGCAACCATCCCTTATTGTTAGACAGAAAATCAAAAGTCCCCTGTCACTGATTTACGGGCCTTTGCAGTGCACCAAGATTACTGAAGGGAGATGTTCGTCTTTCCCTGAGTCCCCAAAATAGCTCGCTGTTGGCGCAGTTAATTGTGAGTGTGTCAGCGCCCACGTAACATCCAGATTGCAGCGAGACTAACAAGGAGACGAGGAGGTCAGAGGAAAATATGTCTTTGGCTTTTAACTGTCTCATTGCTTCCACTACTGGTTATGAAAGCGACGCAGGAAAGAGACAAGATCCAGTACTGTAATTATCATGAGTGGAAGAAAAGAGCTTTTATTATTTGTTGGAGGAGGTTTAGAAAAACTAATTTGGGATTATTAGATGTGGATGGTCTTCAAAGAGGGGCTTCAACTCAATATCAAAGTAGTAAAGTCGTATACTATTAAGAAAACATTATATGTCACTTGTTAGACGCTTTTATCCAAAGTGACTTACATACTCAACACTGTGGGCAATCCCCACAGGAGCAACTTGGGGTGAAGTGTCTCAGGGACACAACGACATGCTGACTGCAGAGGGGTTTGAACCTGATCCGAACACCAACCCACTGCACCACACGCCTCACCTGTTGTAAACGCTGCAAAGTGCTGTTGACACCCTTTACATGACACACAGATCCATAGCTGACAAATTGAGCAATTGCAACACACACATAAAAGCAAGAGGGATAAGAGACACAAAAAAAGTGCGTCAGTCCAGCCATCATTTTGTACTTCATTAGTACAATTATTAACCAATTATCTGACCAGATTCAAACCCGCATCCATCATTTTATAATCATACAGCCCTAAATTACCAAAATAACAACGACCAATCCCAAACAATCACTACGTCCTTTTCCTAACTCTCCTCTCTCTTTCCTCTGCAGGTTACAGACATGATGCAGAAAGCGCTGTTTGACTTCCTGAAGCACAGGTTTGACGGCAGGTAAGACAAACGTGGCAGCTGATTAGACCCTGTGACGATCGTGTGTGATAGTGTGACAGATATATTGGTGAATGCTTTTCCTTTCTCACCATTTTACAGGATATCTATCACACGAGTCACGGCAGACATATCGTTAGCAAAGAGGTCTGTGCTCAACAACCCCAGCAAGAGAGCCATCATCGAACGATCCAACACTCGCTCAAGTCTAGGTAAGTAATCTCAGTTTTTCCCAGTATGCTTAGTTCAAAGTATAAAGTATAAAGCCTTAAAATGTTTCTACACCTGTAAGAACATAGAAAATGATAATAGAAACATAAAAGAACGTTGAGTTAACTTCTAGAGACCTTTAGGTATTTCCATAATGGGTGAGTTTAATCCATTGTTTACACAGAACTATGAACATTTCTATAGTTGTGTATCTGAATTGTTCCTTGTCTCTCCAGCGGAGGTGCAGAGTGAGATTGAGAGGATCTTTGAGTTGGCGCGTTCCCTCCAGCTGGTGATTTTGGACGCCGACACCATCAACCACCCGGCGCAGCTCCTCAAGACCTCCCTGGCCCCCATAATAGTTCACGTTAAAGTCTCCTCGCCAAAGGTACTGAGGGTCGGGACGACAAAACCAAATATCTGTGACAAGCTCAGAAGTAGCTTCATCACCTGAGAGTGTTTTTTGTGGGCTAAAGAAAACACTGGTTTAATTACGTTTTTATCTGGTTTACATTTGGTGGAGACAAACAAGAAGACATGTGACAGGTAACGGTCTCTATGTTAGGATGATATTAACCCTCCACTGGTGCAGCAGCTGCATGGACGAGTATGTCTGCTGCTCCTCAATGAACTCCCACAGATCAGTAGAAGTCTGATTTGAAACGGTGCATTTGTTTAAATGCAGTCACATCCTGGTTTGTTTTACACCACACTTCTCCTAGCATGAAAGGTGCTTGTTTTACTGCACAAACCAGGAGAACTGACCTGTCTGCAGACTCATCAGGAAGCAGCGACATCGCCTGTAAAAACCAGGAGACGGGAGAAATACGCCCCATAATGTGGGTCATTACATTGGGCTTTAAAGGAGTCAAATGTTGACATTGGTGCTGGTACATCAAATGCATAATATGGGAACTCAAACATGCATCAAATATTTTTAATTCCACAAACGAAAGAAGGGAGTAATAGATCAATCAATTAACTTTATGTTAGACCTATACAAGATAAAGATAGACATGATAACGTTTTTTTCTGCCTCGATATTAGTGCCGACACCATTAAATCTGCACATTATCCCCAGTTGTTTTATTTGTCACTTCGTTGCTCGTGAGCTAGATTCCCTTTCTGCACTCGTGACGACGTCGTAGAGGACTCAGCGACCCCTGATGTTGGTTCAGAGTTGATAAATTCAGAGTAAGTGGAGCATCGTGTTCTGTCCGCAGGTTCTGCAGCGGCTCGTGAAGTCCAGAGGGAAATCCCAGAGCAAACATCTGAACGTCCAGCTGGTGGCAGCGGACAAACTGGCTCAGTGTCCTCCAGTGAGTGGCCAGCGCTTTATTATTAGCCTCATGCTTTTATTATTAAGAAAAGATAGGCCTCCGTTTTGTTTTATCTTGTACATTTATTTAAAAATATCCTTCTTATTGGTATTACTGGTGATCTAACCATTTTAAAGCGGCTAAGGATAATTTTGTTTTGTTGTGATAGATGTGTGTGATTGCCATCTCAGATACAATTCAGACATATTTTGTGTATCTTAAAACCTAAATTATATATATTATAATACCAATGATTTTGGATTTACACATCACGTGTAAACAGGTTTGAACATAAAGCCATTTATTCCCACTTTTCCACTCACACAATCTCACACAATAAAAATGGATTCACATTCACCATGTTTCAACCAATCACAGCAGGTATCCTATCATTTAGTGCAACCAATCAGCCCCTTAAAATCAATTGAGTTATTTAAGTTTTTCAGTATTTATATTGTGAGTTATATATATGATTGCCATGTCATCTCAGATACAATTCAGACATATTTCGTGTATCTTAAAACCTAAATGAGATATATTATAATACCAATGATTTTGGATTTACACATCACCTGCAATTAGGTTTTAACATAAATACATTTTTCCTCCATCATATTGTAATGTAAACATTTATTTACGTTCACCTTCTTTCAGCCAATCACAGCGGGCAATCATTCAGTGCAACCAATCGGCCCCTTAAAATCTATTTATGTTTTTCAGTATATACCATACTAATATAATATAAAGATGGCAGTCTGTACACAACAGGAAGTCATTCATCTTGTGTCCATGAGTATCTTCATACCTGCTCCCTCCCTCTGACCATCTGCCTCCAACAGGAAATGTTCGACATCATCCTGGACGAGAACCAGCTGGAGGACGCCTGCGAGCACCTGGCTGAGTACCTGGAGGCGTACTGGAAGGCCACTCACACCTCCATGGCCACGCCCCTGAACCCCCTGCTGGGGCGCAACCTGGGGCCCACCACCCTCACCCCCTACCCCACCAGCATCTCTGGACTGCAGGTACACATACGAGGAATTTGGTGCATACATTCAGATTCAAGGCTTTTATTGTCATTCGTTTCTACAGTGTAGGTATGTCTTCATATATATATCCTTTATTTAACCAGGTAACAAGTGTCATTCAGATTAAAATCTCTTTTTGAAGAGCGACCTGGGGCAGCATGAACAAAGTTGCAACACAGACAATACAGGCAGACGAATACAGCTGTCGTAAAACACAAATGTAAATGGCACATTAACCAGTCAATATGCAAATAAAATAAACTATTATAAGTGACGTCTATTAAAGTCACCCTTTAATAGACGACAGGTGACAGGTGCTCACGATGAGTGGAAGGCAAACTATTTATTAACTGCACAATAGAGACCGCATGGTGAATTCTGAATGAGAAAATGTACCCAAGATATTCGCCGTATGGCTTCAAATGTGATCATTAATGTGGATGCGCGTTGATTTTTCTGACTGCTCATAACAGGGTGTTATAGTTAAGTCGTGCTGTCTCCAGTCTCACTGTGTCCTCCATGTGTTCATGTGATCAGCAGAGCCAAAAGATCCGACAGAGCAACCACACGGGAGACCACTCGACCCCGAACGAGCGACGCAACCTGATGACATCGGACGAGAACTACCACAACGAGCGGGCGCACAAGGGACGCAACCGCATGTCTTCAGGCTCGCAGCACAGCCGGGAGCAGCAGGACCCCTACCAGGACTACCAGGACCCCTATCAGGATGCATACAAGCCCCACCGCAACCGCAGCTCTCCGGGCAGCTACAGCCACGACTCCAGACACCGACTCTGAGCAACATCCCATCGTCCCATCATCACCAGGGTCCCAAACGGCCCAGAGTCCCAAACTAACGCTGCCACAGAGCCCAGACGGTCCCAAAAATGTTACCTTTGTGTTAATTTGTTTTCGTCTACCTGGCTATTTTCTCTCTTCTTAAAAAAAAAAAAAGAAATCCAACAGAATCAGGTGTTTTGTTTTTAAAAAATCAAGCTGCCAGGGCAAACCCCCGTCAATCAACAGTAGTGAAGAGCTGCAGGATGCCACCCTGTTAGTAATGCTGTCAAATGAATTCCTTTTGGGATTGTGCTAACAGAGCTCAGCAGCGCAGATGGAGCTCGTTGTGGTCGGGGGTCAGATGGTGATGGTGTTTGGGCTTCAAAAGGCCCGGGACTTGGCGCCTTGTCGGAGGAAAGTCCGCCGCACACAGACTGCTGAAAGGCTGCTGACCCAAACCCTGGGCCGTGTATAAATCCTCTCCATTTAGCTTATTGCATGCTGATAGATGATCCGCATCCACTTCATTGATCTTTTGTACCTAGCATTCTGGATTCTCTTATAATGAGGTGTAGATACGGAGGTCCAATTTTCTAAATCACCTGATTTGTGCGGACAGGCGTAACGGTGGTGGGGGTTTGTGTGCAGATGATATCGGGCTGCTAGTTTTTGAAAAACTGGTGCTTCACATTCCCAAACTATTTTGCTAATTGAGAGTCACTTCGAGCAAGGCCAGCTTTTCTGTAGCATAGCTTTTAGGATTTTCTTTTGGGTGGAAAACCCTCAGTGTCCCAGCAGAATCTGATCACACTGTAGGACGAGGCTTCAGGCAATAGATGTCAGATAGTAAAGTAAAACACAATAGCAAAATAGCACTTGAGATGAGGACTCGAAGAAAAGCACCTTTTTTGTCGTTTGATAGACTAAAAGAGCATCTGCTGCCCACACATTTTATTTTGCATTTATTAGCATTGAATCAAAGTCGTTAAAACTAAAGTTCAGATGGTGATTGAAGCATTGAAGTTCCTTCCTGTAGTTTTTTTTAGGGTATTAAAAATGTGACATGGCAGGATCGGTTGCATCATGTTCATTCTCTGTGTAGCTGGCATGTTGTCCTGACTGCAGAGCATGTTCCCTCCACACGTTAAATAAAACCCTACTGTAAGCAAGTTGATGTTTGTAGAAGTATACGGCACATCTCTCAAAAAAAAAACAAGAAAAGAAAGATGGCCCAAATGACAGATGAGTGATAACCCTGAAACGGAAAGCACTGCTTTATGTCACGGAGAGTTTAAGAGGGATTGCATGACTCCAAAATGGAGGCGCCATTGTGATGAGAGTTTCTAATAATTCAGGATCACGTTAGCAGGTAGAAAGTAAGGTTTGTGAAAGATAACATGGGCGAGATGAACCCTACCCACAATGCTTTGTGTCTGCAAACAGAGAGCTGCTGTGGTTGTTATTATATTTACATCATCAGATTGTGATCTATTATCTCATCTCCAGATCACAAAGTGAACATGAAATAGATGTCTTAATATCACAGAACAAAGGTCTTCCATACTCCTTCCATCTTTTTGAAAGAAATAAGCTAACAAAAGTTGTCATGTGGAGATGGGACTTTTTTGATGCCCTGCCGTTTCCGTACAATATTTCGTCTTAAGACACCTTACCGAATAACGATCCATTATTTTTGATTGATATCACAATTGCACAGTATAACAGCCCACATGAGTTCTTTAGCACGTTCAGACAAAGTGTTGAAGCTTCTCTTAACATCGAGAGCGCTTTCCTTCTGAGAAATATGATATAGTATAGTGATCATTCCCTAAAGTTTAATTAGCTTTAAGGATTTCTCTAACACTATACAGAGTGTTATTTAAATTAAGATTTGAGAAACTACGGCCGCTAGCAAGGCGGGACAATGTTTGATTTGATAAGAGTAATTACTTTTACTGTTATTCTGTGAGGCAAGTCGGTATGTGAATGTTCATAAAGTTAATTCTGACTTATATAATAGACATTTAATTAGAAAGACGACTGTAATTAGCAAAGCCACTTCTCTAAAGTCTGCCCTGATGTTAAATACTGAGCAAATGTTTTCCCATGGTGCAAAGCATCTCGAAATAATGCATTGATTTAAATGTGTACGGTATTTTCTCTTAATATATCACTTTGTATAGATCTAGATGAAAGGGATAACACTTTTATAGCACAAAGGATTAAGCAAAAAACAATGTGGATCTGGTGTAAGGGCATAGATTATTTACAAGTTATTTTCTTTGCCCATTTTTCCCGTGAATCTCCTTCAGTGTTTGGTTCATGGACTGAAACATGGAGACTGCAAATGAAAAAGAACGTGTACTGTGAATGTCTCATTCTGCCCCATAGCATGGATCCCATTGGTTGATTGAATAGGGATCCATTTTCCATTCAAATCAACCCAATGTTGAGCTGGGCTGCTTGAGCCAATCAGAAGGGATCAAGTCTTTGTGAATTCCCCTAAACAACGATAACGCTCTCTTACAGACCAATAAAGGGAAGTGTGTCCTGGATCCCGACCTATTGTCTCAAAAAGTAATGCATTACACATTTTATTTTCCATGGATAAAACCTCACAAAACACAGAACTTAAAGGAGGATTTTTTGGGGGGAAAGTGTAAAACAAAATAGGAAAAAACAAAAGAACAAATATTTATTCCAGTAGAAAAGTAATAGATGAATATTTGCTGGCGATTATTTTTATAACAAGTGTACATAATGTCTTTGAGAGATGCTATTCGCTGTATACATGTGCTGAAATGAGACGACGATGACCCACGTGGAACAGCAAGGTCCAGTATACAAAGTTTCAGTAATGTGCAATACGAAACGGCATGCTGTTTTAAAATGAGGAACTTCATGTACTGTACTATGCAACCGCAAACTGTGTACATCGCTTCATGTGGCTTCTCCACCCTTCTCAAGCAGCTCCATCTGGACTTCTAAGGGATTTTTGTGTTTGTTTTTTTTTCTGTGGAAGATGAAACCCTAAGCGGCTAATGCGGTATTGCATGCATAATATACCATTCTAATTTATAAAAAGAAAAATACATGAAATTGGAGGCGATTGTGTTTAAGGCAAAGCTACAAGTGACTTAAAACATTTCTTTTTCAAAAATAAAAGAGTCGTTCTAAAGTTGTTGACGGTATTTACATTTCATGAATCTTATTGTGTTGTGATCTGTTCTTTTAATCAACATCTGCACTCATCTTTAAGGTCCAAATAGCCAAATGAGCAGGTCATAAGCTCTACGAAACATTAATGTCCTGAGGTTGTGTGTTCGAATCCTCGTGATGCACAGTGATTTTGAAGTGCTTTAATCAAACACGCAATAAAATAGGTCAAAAGTAGAATAAATAGTTACAAAATAGGTCAGAAATAGAGGTACAAGCATGGGTACAAGATAGGATAGATACAGAGGCGCGGGAAGGTACTTTGAGTGGAGGCGCTGTCCGATGTGCTAATTACGCACGGGGGGGTGTATGTTGACGTACACCGAGCGAAACCACACGCACACAGTGCATAACAATGGACTCCAGTGTACGCTATTACGGGCACTATAGAGCACGCACAAAAGCGCGAACACACACACACACACACACACACACACACACACACACACACACACACACACACACACACACACACACACACACACTATTAAGATGTAAAATATTATTTTACCAACAATGTGGAATTTACATTCATTTAAGTAGGCTATCCAGGCATTGCTAATTCCTGGCTACATATTACACAGATTCTGCGTAATAATGCCCTGCCCCTGTATCTTCTATTTCAATCTTTTTAGCAGATTTAGCGTTTTTAGCACCCTCCTTCCCGCGCCCCTGGATAGATATACTGGTTATGTAAACATTAAACTCAATTAGGAGGTAAATTAGTTGAAAAAAAACTGTGAACTGAACAATGATGATGATCAGAAGGTGTTGATGAAGTGGATCCCAGTTGTATTAGGTGTGTTTTTAGCAATCTGTAATATGCAACAAGCCCTGCATTTCTGCACTTGTTTCACGACTGTTTGGATGAACTGATCCTTTAGTATACTCTTGCAGTTCATGCACATTACCAGCAGGTGTCAGTGCAGGATCGTTCACAGCTTCAGTGTCTCCAGAGTGATGTAATGCAACAAAATCTGAATGAAGAGCATTCCCACAGAAAGCAACAATATCCTTTGTATTGCAGACTATCTGTACGCAATACTCTATTCATACTGCTGATGGATATCTTAAACTATAATTATATATAATAGTTTATTTATGTGTTGTTTTTGTTAACAATGTGAAGTAGCTAGTTACACATTTTGTCAATAAATGTAATGGAGTGAAAAGTACAAAATTGGCTTCCAAAATGTAGTGAAGTAGAAGTATAAAGTGGTACAAAATGAAAATACTTGGGTAAAGTACAAGTACCTTAAATGTGTACTTGAGGACAGTATCTAAGTAAATGTGCTTGGTTACTTTCCACCACAGTCCTCCAGCAGCATTATGAGAATTACATCCGATTACATCCACTTGAACCTGCCATTGGCTGAGCATCTGGTGCGCGTCCCCGCCTCTCTAATCATTCCCAGCGCTCGCTCCCGCTGCTCATGCGTGTGACGGACGGGACGGTGCCGCGCCTCGCCGTCCCTGCTCCCCGTCTCTCCACGAACCTGGAAGATTATCCACAAACACAACAATGAAGGGATTTTACGCATAGCTCCATTTTACGCACACATTCACAGCGTTGCTTTTGGGTTTTTTTATTCCCTGCAAAAATGGCGACGGGGGCAGGCTGGCAGCCTCCGTACAGCACCTCGACTAGCAGCTCCAAATACTCCCCCTCTCCCACAGCCAGCATGTTTTACGACGGGAGTTTGACGCTGGATTACACGCAGGACCTGCATCTGAAGATGAGCAAGAAGATAGCCCAGCTGACCAAGGTGTGAGGGTGAATGCATGAAGCAGGGGGAAGTGTTCAGAGCATGCTGGGATATAAACACTGAGAGGGGTGTGCTGCTGCTGTGGGATGGAAACTGTAAACATGCTGATCTGTGCTGGTGTTTCTGACATGCAGTTTGGTGCAGGACTCTTCCCTGTTTTCTGTCTCATTGTGCATTCCTGCAGGAGCCTGAGACTCACATGTATCCATGCCTAAACTACCCTGTAGCTGCTGTGCATGTAGAACATAAGCCTTTCAACCCTTTTGAGGCCATTAGGTTTGCTAAAAATGTTGCTTTTTGACAGCATGTAGGTGATGTTGCTGCTGTGCATCCTCGCAGGGTTCATAGGTCACCATTTAATACCCAGAGGAGGCTTGTTTTGGATGCTTATGGGTGGTGGTGTTTTGGAAACAGTAGTTGTGAGTAAGTGCATTGAATGAATGACCCACAGCTGGGGTGTTTACGTTGTTAAAGCGAAGGGCCGGTGCAGAGTGGACTGACATAGAAGAGGCGATACAGATCTCCTGATATCTCTCCTCTGCGCAGGGTTATTCTCAGCCTCTTAACATTAGTATTTCACGAGTGATTACACAGAGAGTTTGACCATAAATACCTTTCTGCCAGCCCACAGTTTGTACCTGTGAATGTTTTTCCATCAGCGCTGAAGGGCCGAGGAGGTTATGTAATCCTGGAAGGATGCAGAGGCAGCGCTGCTTCTTTGTGCTCCACCTGCAACAGTGGAGGCTTTAAGAGACACTGTAGTGGTGTAGTGGAAGATTTAAGGTGGCAGCTACAGTTGACATCATCTACAGCCTTTTGTCTCGGATGACATGGAAGTATTATGGTGTGCAGGGGGAGACAAAGCAGAGCAGATTTGACATAACATGGCGATACTGTCCCAGAACTGAATGAGATACTGTGTACAGTGGGATAATCTGCACCGATACACACACATAGATTGGTTGTGTGGATGTGCAGGATTATAAAACAGGCTTGATTAAAATTGAGAGAGAGATTGGCACGATCCCACAGATTCCACACTCTGAAGGCAGTCCAAGAATGTGCTTTTTATTTCCCCCTCGTTTTTACATGGATTTCCTGCTCTTTCAAACAATGATATGCAGGATAGGTGCGCTCCCAAGATGTGTTTGAGAATTGACAACCTGGGCAGGGTTTTTTTTTCTCCTGGTGCATGCTGGGAAAGGCGCCACTGTACCCATGAAATATTCACCACACCAATAAAAAAGACGGGACACGAAGCTGCTATTATTAACCACAAATTGACCAAGCTTTTACTACACAGACTTACTAGGCAAACCCATTTAGACATATATTGTTTAAAATGTAGAGTAAGTTACTCATCGCATACTTTTATCAAATATATGATCAGTTATGGGAATCTATGTGCGGCCCTCTTTCTCCATTAAGGTACTTTTGGTTATAAAATCGTTTGAAACAAACATGGCCCCCGGGCTTTTAGGCCAATACAAAGAAAGCATTGACACTTTGCTGAATGTGTCATATTGCCACTTATGCACTTACTTATATTATACTTGATCAATCAATTAGTGGAATGACAGAGATAATCCAATATTTGTTATCATTGTTTTTATGCAGAAATTGTAAAAACGGTTAACATTTTCGAACATCCTTCCCCTAATGTGAGGCATTCTTTAGGTCGTATCAATGCAAATAAGATGTGTTTTGGTTTTAAATGATGGCTAAATAGTTTGTAGATCAATCCATATTGTTAGTAGGAAAGGAAGCAATGGATTCCTCAGGAGTTGGGGTGTATTTCACTGCAATTATCTTCTCATCTTTCCTGAAAAGCTGAACTCACTTCTCTCTCTGTGGGGTTTCCACATGGCATTGCTTTTTAAAAATTGAAGTGTTCTGCTAGGTGTGTGTGTGTCTGTCTGTCTGTCTGTCTGTCTGTCTGTCTGTCTGTCTGTGTGTGTGTGTGTGTGTGTGTGTGTGTGTGTGTGTGTGTGTGTGTGTGTGTGTGTGTGTGTGTGTGTGTGTGTGTGTGTGTGTGTGTGAGTGTGTCTGTCTGTCTGTCTGTCTGTCTGTCTGTCTGTCTGTGTGTGTGTGTGTGTGTGTGTGTGTGTGTGTGTGTGTGTGTGTGTGTGTGTGTGTGTGTGTGTGTGTGTGTGTGTGTGTGTGTGTGTGTGTGTGTGTGTGTGTGTGTGTGTGTGTGTGTGTGTGTGGCTCTTCTGTGTAAACACTGCATTGCTCCTCCTCTCATTCTTGCATAAAATACGCCTAAACCCATATTCTCTTTCAAGCTGTTGTGTGCTTCACTCGTTTCCCTTGTGGTATTGTTGGTGCATGTTTATAGTGAAGTGTGTGACAGCATTGTTCCTCTAATAATTGCAGCAGTTCTTTGAAGTAGAGCAGGTAGAAAGTAGGACAATTTCTAGTTGCAGAACCTTCTTGTTCGCCTGTTTTTAAAGAAAATCCCACATTACCTTGTAAAATCAACAACGAGAGAATCAGCTAAATGAAATGAAAGTGGATAGAAGTTCAATTAATAATAATAATATATAGCGCCTTTCATGAGACCCAAGGTCGCTTTACAAAGAAGAACAGGAGTAGGAACAAACAAAACAAAAGGCAGTCAGACAAACAGTCAGACAGACAAAACAACAAATAGCTTAGGGGCCAAAGGCCTTAGTAAACAGATGGGTCTGAGGGCCCTTTTGAAGGCGCCAAGCGTGGGGATGTTGCGGATCTGACTGAAGGCTCTGTCCCCGAAGGTTCGCAGTTGGTGCGGGGGGGGGGGGGGGGGGGGGGGGGGGGTAAGCAGAGTCTGGAGACCGCCGGTTCCGGGGTGGGGGCATGTGGGCGGAGGAGGTCCGATAAGTACTGGGGGGCATGGGCATGGAGGGACTTGAGGAGGGGGACTTTGTAGGATATGCTGGACTTGACCGGCAGCCAGTGGAGGTGGATGAGGGTGGGAGTGATGTGCTGCCACGGCTTGTATGTGAGTACCCTCAGTTTTGAACATACTGCAATTAAGCAATGCATCTCACTTTTGAACTACTATATGATACATATAGTATACATATCTGTCACATCCTTTGGTCCATGGGTAAATCATTTATCAATTGTTGTAATGGATGATAAAAGATGTCCATTTGACTTTGAGATAAGACAAAAGCTTAACCCAGAGAAGTTTGGTCATTTCTACTTGAAAATGACTTCCTGAC